CAGCCGGACACGTGTCACGCTCAAAGTGCCGAAAGGGGTCCCCTTGGCCATTCAGGTTTGCGATCAAGACGGCAAAATCGGGGGGGAGCCAGGTGGCATGAGGAAGGATGGAGGGAGCCAGGGACGTGCAGCCCGAGGAAAAGACGTGATGGGCCCCGAGGCTCCTGTTTTCAGATACTTGAAGGGGTGTGAAATGGCCAGCGGCAGAGTTTAGCTCTTATTAGAAACAAACCTGTTCGGGGCGTCGACGCTTGTGAGGCGGTGAGCGCCCCATCCCGGGTAGTGGGAAGGAGAAGCTCGATGCCCGTCGTCGGGCTCCAGTGGGACGGCCTGTGTGCAGAGGGAAGTTGGATAGATGGTCCCCAAGGTCAGTGTCAAGGTTAAGCTTCTCTGATGGGGCACCTCCCACAGGGAGGAGGGGAGAGCGTGGGCTGGGGGTCCAGAGAGCGAGGGAGGGCGGATGCAGAAGAGGGGGGAGCCGGGCGGGTACAGGGGTGGAGAAGGGGGAGAAGATGGGCTGGGCCAAAGAGGGGTGGGGAGGGGCAGAGAGAAGAGTGTGGAATAGGGTCGGAATGAGAGGCAGGAGAGGGAAGGCTGGGGCTGGGATCCCCGCCCCTCCCCCGCCCCGGCCACGACCCGCGTCCCTCCCCGCAGGAATGACCTGCCAAGCTCGGAGCTCCTACCTGGTGGACGAGGTGCTGTGGGGCCACCGGTTCACGTCGGTGCTCACGCTGGAGGACGGCTTCTACGAGGTGGACTATGCCAGCTTCCACCAGACCTTCGAGGTGCCCACACCCTCGTGCAGCGCCCGGGAGCTGGCCGAGGCCGCCGCCCGCCTAGACGCCCATCTTTACTGGTCCGTCCCCAGCCGGCTGGATGAGAAGGTGGAGGAGGAGGGGGCCGGGGAGGGCGCGGGCGGAGGGGCTGGCGCGGACAAGGAGCAGAACGGCTGCCTGCCGCCCCCGGAGAGCGAGTCCAAGGTGTGAGCAGTTTTCCTCCAGACCCCTGTGGCAGGGCCAGACACCGGTACCTGGGAGCTGGATGGCGCGGGCGGAGGAGGAGGCAGGCAAGGCCCCCTCGGGGGACGCGCTGAGGCCGGAGAGCCCCCTGAGAATGGCAAGCCCAGAATCCAGCGGACGGCGCGGGGCCTGGTTTCGGGAGGACGGACGGTGGGGACGGGTAACGTGCCAGCCTGTGTGTGTTCGGCCCTCACGTCTGTTCACGGGTGGACGGGTGGGCAGAAGGATGGATCTGTGCGGGGCTGGATGGGGAGACGGGAGCAGACGGACGGACGCCGGTGGGGAGGCAGACGGACGGACGCAGGTGGCGGTCCCGGGGCCGCTGCTCGGCCCTAGGGCATCTCTGTGCGAATTCTGGAAAGGCGCCCTTTCCCTCCGGAACCGATGCCGTCCGGACCCAGAGGGCACGGCTTGGGGAGCGGAGTGCGGGCTGGGTTTTAGTCCCCACTCACCTCCCCGGCCAGCCTCCCCGTGCTGAGGCCCACCTGTCTCGCTGGACATGGTGGCCCGAGCTGACCCCGAGGAGAGAACGCCGCGCGGACGGAGGTGGGCCGGGCCGAGGGTGCCCGCCCCGCCCCGCCCCCACCACTGTGACCGGAGCAGGAGGGCGGAAGGCCGCGGGGGTGGCTCGGCCAGGTGTGAGTGACCTTGCCCCCACGTGCAGGGAGACAGGGCCCCGGGGAAGGAGGAGCAGGGACGGCTATTTTCTGACAGCGCGACGAGATCTCATAAATAGCACTGCAGCGGCAGGAGAGGAAGAGGGACGCTCTGGGGAAGAAGAAGGGCCAGGAGAGATCTAGAAAGTGAGTTCGCTCGAGCTAGGGTACAGGGGCCCGTGGGAAAGCGGAGTTTGTCCCGGGGCACGGTGACCCGGGAGCCACTGGCGGGGTTCACCGGGTGCACGTTGGGTACAGAGCACTGACCCGGCACAGGCGGGGCGGGCGTTCGGAGACCTGGTTCCCGTCCTCGGGACACGGTGTCCCTGAGGCAACCGCACCAGGTGTGGCTCAAACGGAACCCGACCGTCTCTCGGAGCAGAGGGCGGGAGGGTTCGGTGATCGGAAAGCTGGGGGCTGAGTAAGGCCCAGAGAACGACAGAGAACGAGTGAGCCAGCACTTGTCAAACTGGCGTGTCCATCAGAGTCGCCTGCAGACCTTGTGGAAACGCAGGCGGCTGGGCCCCGCTCCCGGAGTTTCGGCCTCGATAGGTGTGGGGTAGAGACCAAAAACTTGCATTTCTAGCAAGTTCCCAGGTCATGCCGATGCTGCTGGTATGGGGGCCACACTTTGAGAACCACTGCTCTACATAGACTTGGAAGTCACGTCAGGAGGTAGGGCATTTGAGCTGAGGAGGAGCTGAAGGGGAATTGTGGAGAAGCTGAGGGGGAGCCGAGAAGAAACTGAGGAGTAGCTGAGGGGAAGCTGAAGGGGAAGCTAAGGAGCAGCTGAGGAGTACCTGAGGGTAGCTAAGGAATAGCTGAGGAGAAGCTGAAGGGAAGCTGGGGAGTAGCTGAGCCGAGGGAAAGCTGAGGAGTAGCTGAGGGGTAGCTGAGTAGCTGGGGCGTTGCTGAGGGGAAGCTGAGGAGTAGCTGAGCTGAGGAGTA